GTGTGTGTGTGTGTGTGTGTTTGTGTGTGTGTGACTGTATGTGCCTAGTCGTTATCTTTTATTTATTTTTTTTAAAGGAGAAGTGCCGTATTTCGTTGGCACAATAAAATTATGATTAAGCACGGTAATGTGAAATGGCTATATCGTCCGCATCATTTCATAATTGTCCAAATCAAAAACAATTTCTAGGAGTTATCAGATAAAGCGGTTCTTTAACAATAAAGACATCAAAGAATATCATACAATATAGTTTCGTTCTGTTTCGTTATTTCGTTCCTAGTTTTTAATAGAAATAATAACCTGTGCCCAAGCCCTGGTCGGTTTTGATTTGGGTGCTCTCTTTTTCTTAGATTTTCTCTCACATCTGTCTTATTTTTTAAAAAAATGAAGGATTAAGGATGATGGTGGCGATATACAAGTCTACAAAATGATGTATTGGTATTCATCAACGCTTGGGTTCAGTAACTGAGCTTTATCCATGTATTGATTCATTAATCATGTCCTTAAGCCTACTTTTGCTGATTCATTGATCATTTTTGAAATCTTTTCTATTTTTTTTGTTCCATTGGCCACTTCGTAATCTTTCCCTTGTAAGTTTTTTGACATATCACTTATTACATCCTTTCTTTGTTTTTTGATCTATTGGTCACTTTTCAGATCTATCATTGTTTGTTGTAAATATGGACTACTTCTCAACCTTTCCTTTGTTTGATGATCCATTGATCATTAAAAAAACAACTAGTTTCTGTGTTTGTTGATTCACTAACAACTTTTGGCATCTTTCTTTGTTTGTTGATCCACAGACTATCTATTTATTTATCATTATCTTGTTTACTAATCTGTTGATCAATTTCTAAATTCTATTTCTGTCTTTGTGTGTTCATTTATTGATAATTTCAAAAATCTTTGTTCGTTGATTCGTGGTCCCCTTATTTGTGATTTGTTGATCACTTTTTAAATCTTTCATTGTTTGATGATTCGTAGACCACTTCTTTAATCTGTCTTTGTTATTTGTTTTTGGCTGTTTCTTGGTTTTTTTAAACTCGTGGACCAGTTTTTAATCCTTTCTCATTTTTTGTTTGTTTGTTGATCGATACATAACCTTTCAAATCCCTTGTTTGTTGATGCCCTCTCCAGAACGGTCAAGCCCCTCTCCTTGTCTCCAGCGAACAAGGTCATCTGGATATTGTGAAGATCTTGTTGAAAAACCAGGCTAGGGTAGACATCTTTGACGAGGTGAGTGGTAGGGCTGAGGGAATGTGGGGG